TCAGAGCACATGCCTGTGCTGCTTTCTGTCATCCTCTATTGCTGTCAAGAGCTAGCTCTCAGATATTTATGTTCCTTTCAGTATTTCCTCTCCAAGTTCTAAGATCTTGAACTTTGCTGTTCTTCATTTTCACTCTGAAGCGTCAGGTGTGAGGTTTATTTTTGTTTGTCGTGCTTGGACTCCAGTGAGCTCCCTGGACTTGCATCTGGGTTTCAACAGACTGGACCCTTCCCTCAAACGTTGTTCCCTCCTACTTTCCCTCCTTTGCTTCTTATTTATTTATTTAATTTTATTTTTTTAGTTGATGTACACAAAACCTTTGTTTTATTTTTATTTATTTTTATGTGGTGCTGAGGATCGAACCCAGTGCCTCACACGTGCCAGGTAAGCACTGCACCACTGAGCCCCAGCCCCAGCCCCCCTCCTTTGCTTCTGAAGGGCTGAATAGACATGTCCTCAACCTCTCAGCATCTCTTTTATATTCTCCATACACTTTACTCCCAACAATAGTATATCTGTCAAAACTAAGAAATCATCATTGATATATTATTAACTACAGACTTGATTCAGATTTTACCATTTTTCCACTGAGAACTTTCCTCTGGCCTTTCATTTGAGTTTTGCTCTCTGCATCTTCCTCACTTTTTGACCAACTCACTGAAAAACTTGCGGCATTTTAACTAGAACTTATTTTCAGTTGGAGAGTTATTAAGGAACCTAGTCTGACTTGCTTCTGGAAATAAAGTCTTGGAGTTTGAGGTTTTTAAAATCAGTTTCCCTCAAATGATGTTCATATCTGAATTACCAAGTCAAATGTGTCTTGTGTTTGTGTCATTAAAATTTCCTAACCTAGAAATATAGGCACCATTTTTACAATGGTAAAGATGTTGAATAACAAGAGAGTAGGCTAGAGATGAAGAGATCAGGAGTCTGTTATGACACTCTTGATAGGAGATAAGAGTCTAGGAACTTAAGGAGGCTTTGGGGCAGTTGGAAAGGAAAGGAGGAAATGATTAGAGGAACATAATGAAGCAGAACCTATAGAACTTGCTATATAATCTGCATTTTTTTTTAAAAATTATAGATATACAAACATTGTGTAGTGTTTAAGTCAGGTTAAACATATATACTTCCTAAAACACTTATCATTTCTTTATGGTGAAAACATTCAAGTTCTTTCTCCTAGCTTCTTGAAAAGTTCAGTAGGTGCTTAGCAACAGCACCCAGAACTTGCTCCTCACTGCAATTTAGTGCCCACTGACCAGCCTTTTCCCAGCGTCCCCCATTCTCACCAGCCTTCGGTAACTGCCATGTTACTCTCAACTTCCATGAAGTTATCTCTTTTTATGTCCATATATGAATGAAATCACAGGGTACTTGTATTTCTGTGCCTGGGTTATTTCACTTACCATCATGATCTCCAGTTCCATCCATGTTGTTGCAAATGACAGGATTTCATTTTTGTGTCTGAATAGTATTCCATTCTGTATATGTGCCACATTTTCTTTATCAAGTCCTCAGATGGTAGAGGCTTAGGCTGTTTCCATTTCTTGACTGTTGCTGCAATGAACTTGGGAATGCAGGTGTCTCTTCAACATCCCAACTTCATTTCTTTGGGATATATATATATACTCTGTAGTGGGATTTCTGAATCAGATGGCAGTTCAATTTTTAGTTTTTTGAGGCACTTCCGTACAGCTTTACTAATTTACATTCCCACCAGCAGTATGCAAGAGTTCCTTTTTCTCCATATCACTGGCATTTGTCATCTTTTATCTTTTTGACAATCACAAGTTTACTGGAGTGAGATTACATCTCATTGTGATTTTGATTTGCATTTCCCTGATAATTAGTGATGTTGATGTTGAACATTTTCTTATATACCTTAGGAGCATTTGTATGCCTTCTTTCAAGAAATGTCTATTTGGGTCTAATGCCCATTTTTAAGTCAGATTTTTATCTTGGGGTTTTAGTTTAGTTTATTTTTTGCAGTGCTTAGAATTGAACCCAGGGCCTCCCCAAGTTTTTTGAAATTCAACACAAATTAAAGACATGAATATAAGACCTGAAACAGTGAAACTACTAGAGGAAAACATGGGGGAAGCACTTCAGGAAGTGGAATGGGCAAGGATTTTTTGGACAAGATCCCAAAAGCACAGGAAACGAAAGAAAAATAGGCAAGTAGGATACCAAGCTAAAAAACACAGCAAAGAAAACAATAATTCCCCCATTAAAAAACATTGAATATGAATCCCTTATCAGATGTATAGTTTCCCCTACTCTGTGGACTGCTTCTTCCCTAGGATTGTTTCCTTTTCTGTGCAGAGCTTTCTGGCTTGACATAATTCCACTGTTTGTTTTTGCTTGTATTTCCTGTGGTTTGGGGTCTTTTCTAGCAGTTTTCATTGTTTCAGGTCTTACATTTACATCTTTAATTTGTTTTGAGTCGATTTTGTAACTGGCAAGAGAGCCAGACCTAGTTTGATTCTTCAGCATGTGGACACCAATTTTCCTGGCACCATTATTCAGAGACTGTCCTCTCTGCACTGTGTGTTTCTGGCATCTTAGCTGAAAGCCAGTTGGCTACTGTGTATGCTCAGGCTTACTCCTGGGCTGTCTGTCCTGATGTACAGTCTGTGTCTGTTGTGAAGCCAATGCCATACTTCTTGGATCACTACAGCTTTGTGGTATATTTTGAGGTCAGCCTTCTGCTTTCTGCTTTGTTCTTTTTGTTCAGGATTATTTTGTATATTCATAATTTGTGTTTGTTTTGTTCACCACACAAATTATAGGTTTGTTTTTTCCAGTTCTCTGAAGAATGTCATTAATATTTTGATAGAGATTGCCTTGACTCTGACTCTGACTTGGGGCATTATGGGCATTTTAACAATTTCATTCTTCCAATTCAGGAACACAGGATGTCTTTCCATTTTTCTTATCCTCTTTAACTTCTTTCTTCATTGTTTTATAGTTTTCATTGTAGAGATCTTTCCCCTTGTTGGTTAAATAAACTCCTATTTTTTGTAGACAGTATAAATCAGATTGCTTTCTACATTTATATTTCAGATATATCCAGCAACTTTGATAAATTTGTTCATTAGTTCTGATACTTTTTAGTGGCATCTTTGGGGTTTCTTATATACGGGATCATTTCGTCTGCAAACAGTGACAATATGACTTCCTCTTTTCCAGTTTGAATGCCCTTTATTTCTTTCTCTTGCCTGATTGCTATGGCTAGGAGTTCCAGAACTTTGTTGAATAAAATGTTAAAAGTGGGCTTCCTTGTCTTGTTTCAGATCTTAGAAAGATTTCACATTTTTCTCATTCAGTATAATGTTAGCTTTTAACTTATTACATATGATCTTAATTATGTTGAGCTATGTTCTTTCTGTATTTAATTGTTCCATGTTTTTTATCATGAAGAGATGTTGAATTTTATCAAATGCTTTTTCTGCATCTGTTGATATAGTTTTTGTCCTTCATTCTGATGATGTAGCATATCATGTATATTGATTCACATTTGAACCATCCTGCATCCCACTTGATCATGGTGAATAATCTTTTTAATGTTGAACTCAGCTTGCTTGTATTTTTTTGAGGGTTTTTTGTTTGTTTGTTTTTTGCATACCTACTTAAAGGATATTGGCCGCTGGCATTTCCTTTTTTGTTGTGTCTTTGTCTGAGTTGGTTATCAGGATAATGTTGGCCTTGTAGAATGTGATTGGAAGAAATCCCTCCTCTTTAATTTTTTGGAATAATTTAAGAATTGGTATTGGTTCTCCTCCTTTAAAGGTTTGATAGAACTCAGCAGTGAAGCTATCTGATCCAGGACTTTTATTTGATAGGAAGCTTTTTATTACTGGTCCAAACTTGTTACTTGTTTTTCTGTTCAAGTTTTCTGTTTTTTCTTGGTTCAGTCTTGGTAAGGGCTATGTGTCCTGGAATTTATCCATTTCTCCTAGCTTATCAGATGTATTGGTGTGGAGTTGTTCATACTAACCCATTAATATCGCTGTTATTTCTGTGGTGTCAGTTATGATGTCTCCCTTTTCATCTCTCATTTAAGACTTCTCTCTTTTTTTCTCAGTTCATCTTAGCTAAGGTTTTGTTAGTTTTGTTTACTTTTTTGAAGAATTAGATCTTTTTACTGATCTTTTGTATTTTTGTATCTATTTCATTTATTTCTGCTCAGATCTTCATTATTCCTTTTGTTTTATTTATTTGGGGTTTGATATCTTCCTGATTTTCTGGTGTCTTGAGTTACAGCAATAGGTTGTTTATTTGAGATCTTTCTGCTTTTGTGATGTAAACATTAATTGCTATAAACTTCTTTCTTAATGTGATATTTGCTGTATGCCATAGACTTTCAATATAGTGTATCTCCATATTCATTTATTTCAATAAATTCTTAAATTTCTTTCTTAATTTCTTCTTTGACCCACTGGTTGTTGAAGAGTAAGTTGTTTAATCCATGTATTTATATAGTTTTGAGGTTTTTCTTGTAATTGTTTGCTACATTTATTGCATTACAGTTGGAAAAGATACATAATACAATTTCAATTTCTTAAAATTTCTTGAGACTTGTCAATAATATTGACAAAACATTTATTGACTTTAAGGCATATTCCAAGGTGCTTTTCTTTGGTGCTAGAATTTAGTTCAAACTTTTTGAACCATAACTTACAAGATTTTATTGTATTTGTGACTCCTTATAAGTTGCTACTATTTCATGCAAAAAATAACAACTTATTATGAATTAAGAAAAAAATAACGCCTGAGAAGATACTTAGCCTTATATGCAGTGCTTATGAACTTCTGTTAACAATTAAAATGGTACACAGGGTGTATGTGGGGTGTGTGTGTGTGTGTGTGTGTGTATGCGCTTGTATTGTAAAGAGGATAAACACTAAGCTGTGAGAGGATAGTCTGTAAGCCAGGAACTGTCACCTATGAAGAGTGTGAGGTACATTTTGACTCATCTCTGGGTTTATGGTTTTCAGGGAATTGATGCTGATGTCGCATCAGAAAAGCATCGAGCAGCTGCAGGAGACCATTAGACAGAAGATGCTTAGCGACGATAGCTGGAAGGAGAAGGTAATAGTGTGGCTTTCACCAGCCTGTGTCATATTTGCTTTTTAAAATTCTGCCCATTTGCTAGAATACTGTTCCAGATAGATTTTTTTGCTTCTAGGTACACTTTTGATCTCTTCTGGTATTTCCAACACTAAGTGTGTTTATGATGTGTATATTTTCTAAAATATTACCCTACATAATAGGAAATTTAAAAAGTAAGAGCAGATTTTGAAATCTTGTAAGATTAAGATAGCCCTTGTTTCTCATGCAGAAGCATGATTTTTTCCGAATGTTTACTTTTTTCACATAAGTGTTAGAATCTACATTTGATCAGTTGGGTTTTTGTTTGTTTGGTTTGGTTTGGTTTTTTGGTACCTGGGATTGAACTCAAGGGCACTTAAGCCACATCCCCAGTCCTTTTTTGTATTTTATTTAGAGACAGAGTCTCACTGAGTTGCTCGCTAAATTGCTGAGGCTGGGTTTAAACTCAAATCTTCCTGTCTCAGCCTCCCAAGCTGCCAGGATTATCAGGAGTACACCACTGCACCTAGCTGAACACGTTCTTTAAAAAAGGAAAATGTTCTTATAACTTCTCTTCTTCTCTTATAAGAAGATAATATAAAAGAATGGAAAATGACTTAAAGTCAGTTACGAACTTTCAAAATATTTACCCTGGCAAAATAAAGGGGGTTACCATTTAGCCTGCCATTATAAACAAATGTTTGCTTTTAGAGTATGAAAAAAAAAATGCACCGATTCTAATCTTTAGACTTTTGTGTATTTTCCAAAGTTGTAGCAGTGAAAATGTATTATTACTTTTGTAATTTTACATAGCATGAGTAATGTTTTTAAAATTGTTAATTCCCACCTTCTCAAGCCATGAATAGCTCTAGTCACTGAGATGACAACATCGTCTCCTAACATAGATTTCCAGTACTCCTTGATTGATCACTGGGCTCTACCCTGCACCCCTAAGTCTCTACCATGGAGCTACACTCCCAGTCTGGGTTTTTTTATAAACTCTTAAATTTTTCCCTTGAATGGGAGGTGGCCCCTGAAACTCAAGATTGTTTGACTGAAGTCCTAACAATTTGTCTAGTTGTTATTGGACTCTTCTCCTCAGGGACTAGATCCTATAACTTGTAACTTCTATCAATAAGCAGTGACCACTTTCAAACTAACATCTCCACCATGAATGCCCACTCTGCCATCAGCAAATTAAAACCCTTTAGGTGCTGTGGCTGGCTCAGGCCAATTCTAGTCTTTTCTGTTTCCAGTCTTCAAATGTATGAGCTGATAAGAGCCCTCCCTAAATCCTCACGTGCTCCCCTGTTCCTTAGCCTACAGAGTCAGGCAGTAATGATTGCTATGACTACAGTGCCATATTGGTGAAAGCAAAATTCGAGAGTATGGACTAAAGTTGCTGGAAGTGTCCCTCGTAGCACAGCCCTTTCTTTCAAGGCCCACACTTTAATTCTTTTTAATGTTTACAAGCCTCATTGTACTTGATTATCTACTCTGTTTTTATTCATTTCTCCCGTCTTTACCAAATCCATGTTTTAAAATTCAAAAAGAAGATGATCAACTTAACAATCCAAAATATGCAAAGTAAAATGACAGATAGTTTTTAATTCATTCAACTGATAGACTTGCTTTGGCACCACACTGAAGAGCTAGCGAAATGGTGTCTCACACTTTCTCTAAGACACTGGAAATTAAAGCAACCTTCTTAAGACTTGTTCATTTGTATATATCAAGAGATACTGAAAATGTCCCTTCTCTGACTTGGAAATTTATCTGATGGAATTAACATGGTTGGAGATCAGCAATCCTTCCCTTTCCTCAGACTCCTGAGCTCCCTGTCTTAGACTATTTGGGGGAACCTGCTGGAGTATATGTGCCCCACCTGCACAGTCACCCCCACGTAGGGTTTTCAGATCCATTTCACTGGAGAGGGCATCTCTGCTTCTGACCCACCCTAGTCTCCTGCTTTCTGTGCTCTGGTTGTGAGGCACTAACACTGAGTAGATTCAGCAGCTGACCCTGCAGAACTTTATGCTCTTGCTTTATGCTAAGTTAATGTGATGGGGAAAATACTCGTAGGTAATAGTCTCAAAGTTCTTATTAAGACCATGATATCTGTCTCAGACGTCTTTAGGCATGTGTACTTTTCTATAGTTTGACTTCTTGTTAATAAACATCATTTAACTTGCAGTAAATCAAGCTCCAGGCCAGCAAAGCCAGGGAATGATAATTAGGTCTTGGCTGTGTTAGCTATTGAGATTACAAATAAAACTTCCCTAAAAGTCTTCTTATGAGAAAGAAGAATCACTAATATGACATTGTCATCTCTTTCTTGGGTCACTGTGCCTTTGCGTAGGAATGAAATGTTCCCTTTATAAATATATAATACATGTATTAGAGTAAACTTCATAGTTTAAATGCCTTTAACATTCAAAAACAGTAGACTGGAATTTGTGCTTGTGCTTAATTATTTTAGAGTATGTAAAAAGCTCATAATAGGAGCAATAGTTGCTATGCAGCAAGGATGGCACATTTTTAAAAAACAGTATTTACTAATTGTCATGGCTTTTTGTTTATTTGAAGTATTGCTTTGATCCAAAGAAAGCAAATTAATGTGCATGCTGAATCTTTAAAACTGGTCTCAAATTCACACTGTTGTTATTATTCAGTGAACACTTAGTAATTAAAAAAATCTCCCATAACCAAATTGCTTACATAACCAGTTCACGTCACTTATTGACTTGTTAGTACAACAAGCAGATCCCAAATATTCCTTTCTTAGATTATCATCAAGACATTAAATTTAGAAACATTTTAGAACTGCACTATTGACCCCATTTTAAGAACTACATAAAACTTTTGAAAACAAACAAAATCTTACTTCTGGCTGAAGTCTCTGAATTGATAGTGAAAATGCAAAGGAGAAAAGTTTACTTTAAGAGATATTAAATTTTTCTTGAAGAGAGAAAAAGTCTGAATTTTTTTTTCAAATGGAAGAGCCAAATGTCTAATAATTCCTAATGTGTTGTAATGGACTATTAATGAAATAAAAAAGAATAGCATGTATAATACAAACTTTGATAGAGATGAAATTATTTATATAATATTTATTAACATTTATACCTAATAAATATATGGCTAAAAAGAATCGGAAGGCACAGTATTATTAAATTATGCTATGTAACTTTAATAATTGAATTCATAATATGAGATTGTTAACACATAGAAGCAAAATCTATGACAGTAGCACAATGTCTTGAGGGAAGAAATGGGAATCACGCTTCATAACAGTGGGTTATGTCCCAGTAAACCTACCACAAGTTGGAACTGCCATCATCAAGATACATTTAACACGTCTAGCATAGCTTAGTCCATCCTACTTCATATGTGCTCAGAGCTACAGGTATTAGCCTATAATTGGGCAAAACTATCTAGCAGAAAGCCTATTTTATAATAAAGTATCGAACATCTCAAATCAAAGTTCAAAGTATAGTTTCTGCTGAATACATCACTTTCAATATCACTGTCCGGGTGAAAGATCCTAGGTTGAGGCCACCTGTATGCTGTTTTCTTGTACAATACATGGATGGTGTGTCACTAGAAGGTAGACTGCATTACAGATGTGTTCTAGAAGCCTTAAAGAAAAAGACTGACAGCTGACAAGCCAGTAAAGGAGATAAGTTAAATTTAAAACATATTCAATCCAAAAAGAAGATAGAAAAAGAGAGAAAAGATAAGGTGGGCCAAATAGAAAACACAACATAGGACAGTAGATTTATTAAAGGTGTTCTTACCAACAATAACAATAAATATAAATGGTCTAAATCAGGGATCAGAAAACTTTTTTTGTAAAGTTCTGGCAAGTCTTGGTTTTATGGACATAACACCAGTCAACTTCGCCATTGCTCATAGGTAAGCAGCCAGAATGAATGGGCAATGACTGGCCAGAGTTTACTGATCTTGGTCTAAATATCTCCATTTAAAGAACATAGTTTTTCATTTTGGGTAAAAATGCAAGACCCTACCATCTGTTGACCAGAAGAAATGCACTTTAATATGAAGACACAAGCAGGTTAAAAGTAAAAGATATACTATGCTAACACAAAGCCAGAGGAAGTTGGAATAGCTTTATTATTGTTAGACCCAGCAGACCAGAGCAAAGATGTGAGAAAATTTAGAATATTGCCAGGGAAAAAAGAAGGTCATTTCATATGATAAAGTAGGGCATGATAATCCTAAACATTTAGTCACCTAATAGCAAAAATTGATGAAACTGCAAGGAGAAAGAGACAAATGTACAACCAGAGTCCAAAATGTAATCTCTCTTTGAATGACTGGCAGAAAAATAGCCAGAAAACCAGAAGGAATCTGTACTGTGGAAAATGATATAATAATGTATTTTTAAGAAATATTGAATAATATTATTAACAAACTGACCCAATTGACATTTATAGATATCCTCCACAGTAGAGTACACATTCTTCCTATGTAGCGTAAAGCATTTACCAAAATAAACCATTTTGTGTTACATAGAATTCTCAATCAATTCAGAAGACTTTAAATCATACAAAGTTTTTTTCTCTTACTACAGTGGAATTAAATTAGAAATAATTAACCAAATGGTATCTGGAAAAATCCCCCAATATTTTGAAACTACATGAATACCACATCCACCTCATTAGCCACTCTGCTGTAAAAGGAGGAAGAAGGCAGGTTATAGGGGGAAACCAAGCACGGTTCCCCATAGAATCCACCAGAAACATCTGAGGATGCCAACCTCCCCGCCTCAGAGAACTCTTGATCTTGATAAAGTTACTTTACCTCTCTGAGCCTATTTCTTAATCTAGACACTGGGAATAATAGCTTCCAACTGGTATTTGTTTTTAACTTTTGGAAAATAGTACAATAATTTATTTTAGGAGATATATTTTCAAAAACAATATGTGCATATCAAATATGAACAGTCAATCTGATCCCCATTTTCGTATCTGAAGTTCCCTTGGGCTTCGAAGGGAGTGACAGGTGATTATGTTCTAATGTGGTGAAGGCTCCATGGACAGTTAGGAAATAATAAAATCAGCCACAAAGTTCTCTGTTGGAAAATAATCAGTGAAAAGACAGTATTTTGCATATCAATACTAGATAGAGATGTTTTAAATACTAATTATGCATTTTAATAACAAATACAAAAGGAATGAGCTGTGTTCAGAATGCTCTGGACTCATTGGGAGGTCTTCACTGAGGAGATGGAGTTTGAACTAGTGGAGGTTATAGATAATAAAAAACAAAAATAAAAAACCTAAATCCTGGAATGTGTACACAGATCATTGATTTTTACTTTGTGTGACTCCTAAGCTCACATATTATTTATGTTTTTTTTAAAAAGTCAATATTTTCCCACAATTATCAAAATTACTGTTACTGTATGAAGTAGCTTATGCATTATATGTGTAGCATCAACATCGTGTGTTTGCATAAAACATAAGTCCAGCAGTTTATATAAAATACAAACACGCAGCTGGGCATTCATTCAACCTCCTAATGATACATAGTGTATTCTGCAAGCAAACCACTGTGTGAGCTCTTCACTGTTCAAACTCGATAGGTCATGAAGGGACCAGCAGGCTCATGCCATGGGATTGTCACATTCAGATGACTCTTGTCATCCTATGTAGTTCTGGAAATTCCATCAGAAGCTCATTGCTTTGCTTTTCCTTCTCAGGTTGTGCAAATTAAAAACCAAGCCAGTAATAGTCAATCACTCTTTCCCCTTCTGCCCACGGTGGCTTTTCTTTCCCACAATCCGTATGCACCGTTCTTTTCTCTCAACCCACAAAAGTTCAAGGAGTCATTCAGGAGCAAGGTGTACACAGATCAATAACAGAACATTCTGCCACTCAAACCTTTTGCCCTTCCCACTTCTTCCTGAGTGCTTCCTTTGTTTCCTCCACATCAAAGGACCTCTTCTCCTTGAATAAAATTGAAGAACTTCTTTTTTAAAAGGTTCTTCCAAAGTTTTTTCTGTCATCTAATTTATACTGCGTCCTGTTCCACCTACTTTATGTACATTCCCACTCACTTATTTTGAGCAATCAGGATGGCAATAAGGAAGCTGCTCAGGAACTGATGGTGGCCAAAATTAGGGTAGTGGAGGGAGAGGTGAGAAGAAAGGGAGTCAAGGCATTTTTGTTAGGTGTGGCAGAGAGAGGGAGAGAATATGAGAGATTGCGCTATGGTTACCGATTTAAATAACCAATGGATGGTGGTGCTGTGTCCTGACACTGGGAGGGTCTGGGGAGGAACAGGTTTGGGGGAAGGTGTTCTGTCTAAGGCCATGCTGCTTATTGGAGACACTGTGAGCTGTCTAAATGGCTACAGGAGGCAAGTGGACATGAGTCCCTGATCTTCACACCAGAATCGATTCTGAATGCCCCCGAGGCCTTCCTCTTCTTTAGCAGTCTGAGAACAGCCCATGTGAACAATCCTATAACAGATCATCAGTAGTCTTTTACCCAAACAATCCAGAAAGTTATTGAGAAAGCCAGAATAGCTCCTCACATCACTATCAGACCAATTCCTGTGCATTTGGGGCACATGCCCAGTTCTAGCCCCAACTGACCTTCCAACTGGGGATGGCCTTCTGTCTTATTTTATTTAATTTAAAGGACTTCCTGTGGACTTTCTTAGCAAACCTTGTTTCTTGGCAAACCTCCCAAGCAAGCAACCACACAGTTCTCCCAACTTACCAGGCATTTACCTCCAATTAGAGTTCATAATCACAGCACAGTACCATGCAGGCCTCAAGCCAGCCTGTTAGCAGGATTTCTCTGATCATCTCAGATGAACTCCAAGGCATGGATGACTCCAGCCCTCAGATTTGACCTCTCTCTTGCTCTAGTAGGCAGAGCCGAAACCAGTGGTAGGAAGACAGTGGAAAGAGATAGACATCGTTATCCTAAGTACATGTATGAAAACACGAATGGTGGAACTCTACTTTGTGTACAACCAGACGTGAAAAATTGTGCTGTATATGTATATTATGAATTGAAATGCATTCTGCTGCCCTATATAACAAATTAGAATAAATAAATAAATAACATTTAAAAGTAGAGTAGAACCAAGTACAGCAGACGTGGTCTCCCCCACAGGGTCTGAATGGTTGCTCACACGGGGACCCACCCCAAGCAATGCAATTCTTGGATTACATCCCTGACTGATGGGGGGACAACTGGTGCAATTTGAATAGTATTATATCAATGTTCATTTTACTGCTTTTTATAATTGTACTGTAGTTCTACAAAAAAAGATCTCCTTGTTTTTACAAAACAAACAAACAAACAAAACCTCATGGAGGATGTGGGCTGAACTAGGAAACTACCTAGTGCCTGATGCTGTGCGAAGTGGGAACTCCTGCTGCTGGAGAGAGTTGCCACTTCTGGATATGACAGGCACCCAGCAGACCAGTCTCTGGAATAGATGCCACAGCAGGGACCAGAGAGTCAGCAGTGGAAGTCATTTCCCCTGACGGCTGAGTCCCTGCTCAGGCTGAGCTTACACACAGGCTTTGCCTCATTTAATCCTCCAACGCCCGCGAGGGAGCTAGTTGTGACCCTCCAGGACAGGTTCTGGCTCCAGCTTCAGATCACAAGCTAGCCAGTGGCAGGGCCAGGATTTAGAACCAAGATCAAACTCAATTCCATCACAAAACCAAGTCCTTGTTTATTCTCCCTACAGTTCACAGAAGCTTCAGAGACTGAACCAAGGGATTTCTGAATCCCCTCTGGCACTGTGATTCTGAGTCAGCTGTAGTGTTTTCCTTTAGTCATCCTTCTAGCCTTCATAACCTCAGGATGACAATCTGTGAACTCCATCAAGAAAAGGCCATTTGCAAAATCAACACCTGCCCCTGTAGCTCCTCTGAATTTCAGCTGACCTCAGTCTAAGGACCGCAAGAAAAAAAATTTTTTTCTACTTATGGGTTGCTGGCAAAGACTGAATTTTTAGTGTAAATGACTAAGCTTTTAGTCATGACATATAAATGACTCAGTTTTTAGTATTTTTGAATACTCTAATGCTAACTTCTGTAGTAATATTTTAGATTTTAGGTATCCCCAGGTCTTATAATACTTGACCCAAGATCATTTTTTCTGGCCCAGATTCTAAGTTTGAATTTTAAGTACCTGAAATTTTTAAATAGTTTAATTAAAACTTGATGCTAGAATTTTTTTTAAAAAATCAAGTCTGAAAATAAGCTTAATGTACCTATTTCTAGATAAAGTGGTTTTATATATGGGTTAACATTGTTTTCTAGATTGAGACTGAACTTGCCAAGGAAAGAGCCCGACACTTAGCTGAATTCGAGGAGAAGGCTCTTCTCTTTAAAGAAGAAGCAAAATTGGAACTTGATATTGAAAAAGAAAAACACCAAGAAATAATCCAAAAGTATAAGAAGGAACAGAAAGAACTACAAATGAAGGTCAGCGATTGTTACTTCATCACTATTTAAGGGGCCAGTACTTCCACCTAGGGACACTGCAGTATTCTTAACTCCCATGGCTGTCCTGTGGCTACTGTGCTTGGTTGTAGCCACACAGGTAAAACAGTCTGGCTCTTCTCCAGGTGGATAACTAGATAAGTTCTGTAAGCATATAATTCAGATGCGTGGGATTTTCTACTAAGATAAACTTACCTTTAAAACAGCATACACTTTATGACTAATAATTAGCCTGGCTGGATATTCCAAACAGCTCAGTATCCATCATCAAAATTGAAGTGTTTTATGTAATTAAAAATTTCCCAACTAAAATATATCTTTTTAAATGTAGAAATTTCCAGTTCCAAACATTGTTGAAAGAAGAGAAAATATTTTCAAAACATAACACACCTTTCTAATTTCTTAAACAGTGTGCCCTAAACTTAAGGTTTTGTTAAGATTTCCGTTTTTATAGGACCTAAGTATAGGGTGTATGTGTGTGTGTGTGTGTGTGTGTGTGTGTGTTAATCAAGGCCCAGTGGGGAAAAAATATTTTGATTAACTCATTAGAGTCCACACTGATGAAGTATCAAATGAGCCTGACATCTCTGCATGGGTGTGAAGGAGCAACCAAGGAAATGTTGTTCAGTGGTCCACTCTGAACCACAGGTCGGTCCGGCTGCGTGAGTATGTGACTGTGTAGCACAGGACCCCACACTCAGAAATGCTTTGTGCTATGGATTTAGTGTTCTGCATATGCTGCCTTGAAATTCTTGATGGCTTATCTTTGAGATTTCGTAAGTAAAATCCTATGGAGATAGTGGAGCATGTGCCACCAGCTTGGAGCCTCGGCTCACCTCAATTCTGGTCTCCCACCCCTTGTGCCAAGGGCCACGCTGAGTTCCCCTGCCCATCCTCCCCTCACCTTGCAACTGCAGTTGCAGGACTGGGCTGTTCAGGATCCCATGGGCAGAGGAACACTGGAAAGCAGGCCTGAACTTGCCAGATGGTTTGGTTTCTCACAAGAAGTCGTAAGTCCAAATTTTTGTAAGTGAAGTCTCCTGATTTTTAAATGTTAACTGCCTTTTAAAAAAAAATCAAAACATATGGCCAGGTGAACCTCCTATCCCCAGGATAACTTGCTCAGTCTCAAGGTCGCCTCTCCTCTGGGTGAAGAAATCCACTGTTCAGACCTACAGTGACCCTCTTTCCTTCTGGACTAACTGCAGAAAATAGAATATTAATTTATAAAATGACCAATTGTGGTGAATAGATTTCTCTCAAGAATTACTCCTTATGTAAATTTAACATTTGAAACAAATTTGGATACATAACTCTTTTAAGTAATAGTTCACAAAGCCCTTGGAACTTTGGTCTATAAATGCCTTCCAGACTCTTTGTGGGCTAGTTTCTTGTTTTGCTAATATTTATAATACGACAATATCTGTAGCAGAAGTAATAAGGATATGTTTCATCAGAAGTATCTTTGTTCTTCCTTGTTTTTTTGTTCTTTGTTTAGTTTTTTGTTTTGTTTTGTTTTAAGGAGAAAGAAAACAGTCTTTTCCCTTCTAAAGATTTCATGCTACAAGGAAAAGCTTCCCCAGGTTATTGTCTCATATTCATCTAGAAGCCTCAAGAAGCAGTACTTTTTCACAGTATCTGGATATTCTCTAGAATTTCACTGTCCATTATGATGGTCATATGTGGCTACTAATAATTCAATTAAATTAGTCAAAATTAAATAAAATTTAATATTCAGTTCTCAGTTACATCAGTCACATTGCAAGGGCTCAGTAGCCTATACTGGCTTTCAAGAGCCTATCCTGGTCATCCCCTTCCAGCTCAGTCCTATCAGTGGTATTACAGAGGTAGCTATGTTGAGAGTATTCACACCGTGCCAATTAGATACATATTTGACTTTTTTGTGTGTGGGGAGTCAATTTTAAACATTTACCAGCACACTACTTCAAAAACCATATGTGGCCAGGCAAGTGGTATATGCCTATAATCCCAGCAGCTCAGGAGGCTGAAGCTGGAAGATTGTAAGTTCAAAGCCAGCTTTAGCAACTTAGCAAGGCCCTAAGCAACTCAGCCAGACCCCGCCTCAAAATAATATAAAAAGGACTAGGGGGATGTGGCTCAGTGGTTGAGTTCCCCTGGGTTCAATCCCCTGTACCAAAATAAATAAATAAATAAGTGGCTAGTGGCCACCATATTGGATAATGCAGAATATTTCCATCAGAAGTTTTGTTGGGCAGTGTTGCTCTAAAAGGTGAAGACAGAAAGGAAGAAAAGAAAAATTATGTCAAGGGAAACTTAATTGTATGATATTAGTAGAGTATAACTGTGGTGCCCCCCTTCCTGCATCTCCGAATATCAGGCATTTTGAGGTCCTGCAGCCAACCTAGCTAGGTCCAGCCAGGCCCTTAATCTACTTTGTCAGGACCTGAGCTATCCTTGGCAGCTCAATGTAGTCACAAATATTATGTATTTCCAAGGGTACCCAACTGATCAATGTAATACCATTTTAGGTGGAAAAATGAATCACACTAACTTTTTTATTATTTTTTTAAATTTATATATGACAGCAGAATGCATTACAATTCATATGACATACATAGAGCACAGATTTTCATATCTCTGGTTATATACAAAGTATATTTACACCAATTCATGTCTTCATACATGTACTTTGGATAATGATGACCATCAAATTCCACCATCATTTCTAACCCCATGACTCCCTCCTTCCCCTCCTACCCCTCTGCCCTATATAGAGTTCATCTGTTCCACCCATGCTCCCCTTCCCTATCCCACTATAAATCAGACTCCTTATATCAGAGAAAACATTTGGCATTTGGTTTTTTGGGATTGGCTAACTTCACTTAGCATTCATTATCTTCTCTAACTCCATCCATTTACCTGCAAATGCTATGATTTTTATTCTCTTTTATTGCTGAGTAATATTCCATTGTGTATAAATGCCACATTTTTTATCCATTCATCAACTGAATAACTTTTAAAAGAAAATATTGAAGGCCTATGGATGTCATGGAGTTTGTTTTCCTCTAGTTAGAAGAACATACTAGAGTAACCCTCTTAAAAACCTGGATCTCTGTAGTTATCTAGAAACTGTTGCCTACAAACTAATATGATGTTTATCTTACAGATATCTGACTTAATCGCAGGCGCTACAAGAGACCTAAGGCTGGAAGTGACCACTCTTAAAGAAAAACTCCACAAATCCCACATCCAATACACAGAAGAATCTGAGTCAAAGAAAAAAGAAATTGAAAACCTAAAAAATTTGGTTGCAGAATTTGAATCTCGTTTGAAGAAGGAAATTGACAGTAATCATTCAGTTTCAGAAGACTTGAGGAAGGAAATGAAACACAAGTCAGATGAACTGGAAAGAGTATTGCTGGCACAAACACAACTGATACAACAACTTAGCCAGTCCCAGGAAGAGGTAGGATGCAGATCATGGTACCTTTGCAATTAGCGTAATACATGAACACAAAGGGTAGCTTGGTGTCATGGCAAGTGTCTGGCTCTGTCCTTAACAGAGCAGTCACTTAACCTCTGGGCCTGGCTTCCTTTGGTGTAAGATGAATACACTGAACTACATAATCTCTGAAGTTCCCTCAGTGCCCAGTTCAGTGTTGCAAATGACTAAAATCTCTAAGCCTAGGAATCTTTATGTATTTATGTCTTATTTGTTTTAACATTGACTCATTGCTTAAGTTAAAAAGATATTATTGAATAATATAAATATAAATTTACTTTAGTGTTTTACATTTCTGTCAACCTAAATTCATAAGGTAATTTACATGCTTTAGTCTTCTTCCTTACATATGCTTAATCATTTCAGCCATGTTTTTATTTAGACAGCTTGGAAAACTTTTTTCTACCAAAGTCTTATTTCTAAACTGATAAGCAGTTTAGAAATAGGGGAACAACTAATTTGTTCTCTAATCACCAACATCTGTTTCATTATAATATTTGATCCCACTTACGATAGTAGAGCAAATAAAGACAAATGGAGGTAAATTCTGAATGTCAGTGAGGAATAATATTTTTGCTGGTTTTTCCTTAATTAAGGAATAAAAATAATAAAGGAATAATAATATCAATTATTAACAACAAATATGCCATAGTCTTGCTATATTTAAGTTATCAACTAAAATAGAAAGTTTATGACACCATTGTAACTACAAAGTGAACCTATCCCAAAGAAATACAAGCTAAAATATGGAATGGACAAAATACAGGTTCAAGAATAATGCCCAAGACGACTTTATAAAATAGAAATTACTTACCTGTTCTGGATGGGGAACTGATTGAAAAGCTTGAATAATTCCCTCGAGGTCATTAAATTTGGTGGAGCCCAGATTCAAAGTTGAATCTCTTGGTATGATGTTTCTTCTTTTGGGAAACCTAAGTTCTAGTCAATCTGCTTCTAAATTTCAGGGTGGCCACATGCTATCTCCTGGCCTCAACTATCTACCTACTTACTACTTTTAAAAGGAAAAACAAACAAAAACCAGTTTGCATGTTCTTACTCCTCTGGATGGTGAGGGGATCAGGGGATTGTCTTACCTCCCCAGCAAGGGAGCCTCTCCCAAGCCAGGGAGGAGAGGAGGACAGCAGAGTGGACTGAGTGCCACCAGGGAACTGACATGCCAGACAGCAGTGTGGCAGTTCCAGAGGCGAGGCAGCAGGTCAGAGGGGCGAGAAGTGGAGGCAATGAGTTAGGGGTCTGAGTCCCAAGAGAAACTGTGATACAGGAAGGAGGAGTAACTTAATCAGGACAGGTAGAAAGAGATGAAAGTGTCAAATTCAGAAAATATGAATTTTCCTCTGGGTGCAAGGCACCATGCTAAGTGAGCACTGGTGACATAATTCGGAATAAAACTGATGTCTGCATTTCCGGCCTTCAAAGAATTTAAAGAAAAACTTTCATGAGTAATTAAATTCTCTCTAGAGGAGAGAACAATCTAAACAAATTTAGCTATGAAAAACAGGCGAAAAGCTAGGTAATTTGCCTTAAGAGCCTGTATTTATTATGTATTGCTATGTGACAAATTATCTCCAATTCAGCAGTTTCAAACTACAAAATTATCATTTCTGAGGGTCTCACCAGACCACATGGTATCAGTGAACCCAGAGGTGTGCAGTCTTACCTGAAGACCTAGCTGGGGGAGGCCTGGCCTCCAGCTAGGGTGGTGGTGGGTGGGCAGAGCTATGGCCTCCAGCCTACTTGGATGATTATGCACAGGATTTTCTTCCTCACAGGCTGTTGACCTGAGAACCTCTAGCTGTTGGCCAGAAGCCCTCGTAAGCCCTTGCCACAGGTAGCTCCTTAGACCAGTGCATCCACTGGCTCCCTTGGGGTGAGGAGGCAGAGGAGAGAAGGGTGCCAAGACAAGAGCCGCAGTCCTTGTATGACCAAGTCTCCGAAGTGCTATCCCACTGCCCCCACTATGAGGCAATGAGCCCAGCCCACACTCAAGGTGAAGCAAGCGCACAAATTTGACCATCAAGACTGCAGAAACCTCTGGGGCCATTTTAATGGCTTCCAACCAAAGGCCCTCTGGAAGTGATTTTAGCAAAAGAAATCAGATTGAAAACAAAGAGATTTTGCTATCACACAAAAGAAGCTATATCTGGACCTGTCTTGCTCTTTAGTTACAAAAGAAAGCCACTTAGAAATGAGGTTTCATTTAAAATACATACTGACTGTTAAAAGAACATAGTGGGTTGGTATATAAATGGTCATTGATCATCACTAGAGAGGAGAAAAGGATCATCTCTAGAATAAAGAAAGCTAATAAAAGATGAGCATGGGGCAGCTATGGGAGGAGAGGGTAGACTAGATCTTCCATTGGAAGCTACTAAAGTATCACCCCTAAAGTAAATAATGAAAACTGAAGTGTAAATAAATAAGGCTATTCTCTAGCTAAGCATACCAAAATCCAGAATATGCTTATGAAAATAGGGAATGGGCCAATAAAAGTAACAGGATTTATGAGCCAGAAAGCATAGAAGCTGTGAATAGAAGCATTAAAGTGAAAAGTACTATTTTCTTTTTTGATCATACATTCCAGACACTTAAATTTCTTGGATTCTAGAGAAATGAAGCTGCATTTAAGTGAAGAATAAATTCCCATTAGCATGAAGAATTAATGGTCTAATAGGAGGCTCGAATAAAAGGAAGAAAGCCCTATTCTCTTCCAAGTGGCCAAAGAAGGGGCAGACTTTGCTTCTAATTGTATGAAGACAAGTTCTCCAGGCTAGCCTCTGAAGGGCAAGACAAGCCTCCCTAAGTAGAGCAGGGATTATTGAAGCCACAATAGCAGCATAGAGTATAGCAAGAGAAAGGGTACAGGCCATAAGCAGAGAGAAAATGGAAAGTAAAACTGTACTGGAAATGTAACTGTGAACAAGAGCCCCTAAAAATTCTTGCTGGGGAATAGACACATACATTAAAACTTTGAAACTTCAAAAACAAAAAAGAAAAGGAAGTTGAGAAGAGAAAGTCAATATGTTAAAGAATAGCAAGTTGTCATCAAAGCCAAGTTAAAAATGGGCACACGCTTCCAGGGATCAGTCTGCCTTCATGCTAGTTCCATGTAAATTTTATCAAGAGAATATGGTCTCGTGGTTATGGCCTTATTGTAAGCCAGAGAAAGAACATGGCAAATTGAGAAAAAAAAAATCTAAAAAGCTCACGTAAGAGAACCAAAGGAAAACCAGTGCAGAGGGCTCAGCATTTTTGTTAAGACTGTAGATAAGGCGCAGAAAGGAGCAGGAATTTTAAATTCTGCGATTCCTATAGCCCATCCATGATGAAAGATATTCAGAAAATAATCCTCTTGGTTAAACATGGAGAATTGAATCTCTACTTCCATTTTGCTGCCACAGAAATGGGGGGAAAATAATAAAAAGTGATTAATCCACAAGGGCAAAGAGAAAAAGAGGAGTAGATGCCAGGTGGAAAAGATGCTGCTGGACCTGGGGGCACACACCTGTGGTCACAGCAACTCTGGAGGCTGCAGCAGGGAGATTGAGAATCCGAGGCCAGCCTCACCAACTTAGTGAGACCCTGTCTCAAAATAAAAAGCAAAAAGGGCTAGGGATGCAGCTCAGTGGTAAAGTTCTCTGGATTCAATCAGAGGTAAAAAAAAAAAATATATGTTGACAAAATTTTGGAAAATGGAAAGCAAATGGCTAAGAGGTGGCTACAGACCACTGACTTAGGAGTCTATAGACTATTGAGACCCTAATGTCTATGGTGATAAGGCCAGGGGATCAAATGGAGCAGACCTAAGTGAGTGATAACACTGGAGACTCAGGAATTGGAGACACCAGATACCTCTGAAAGAGGGACAGAAGAGAGAAGCTGAAAGCAGGAGAGCTTGCAAGATTGTAAAGGGAGTTTTGCTGTGGCCTCCATGGGGTAAGGGAGGCGTGAGGGAGGACAGTCTCTGCCGCTCCCACCGCGTGATCGCACAAGCATTCTTGCTTTGTCTCTCAGGGTTGGAGACCCAGCAGAAATTGGAGAACAACCTGAAAAAGGTGTGCCTTGGGGAAACAGCCTGCATGCAGAGGACCCACTCTGGAACAGACCCTCAGTTCCATCTTTAAGGTTGAGACGGTGAAAGAGCAAGGTGCAGAAGCAATCAAACAGGATCCAATAATTGGCCCTATAAGATGGTGTAAAGAAGGTAGAGGGAACTGTGACCACGCACAGAGCAGGCCTAGCGGCCTGCTGAGGGGCAGAGCCGCCCCCCATCCCCCGCGCCAGCCAGGTAAGTGGAAAGGTGACCACCGACAGAAAAGGCCCAGTGGCACGCGGCGGGACAGAGCTTCCAATCACTCCTGCAAGGTAGGCGGGCCTGCAACCCACCGGCAGAAGAGGAGCAGCGGCCTGCTGAGAGGCTGAGCCGCCCCCTCCCCCTACACCGGCAAGGTAGAGGGAACTGTGACCACGCACAGAGCAGGCCCAGCGGCCTGCTGAGGGGCAGAGCCGCCCCCCACCCCCTGCGCCTGCCGGGTAGGTGGAACTGTGACCACCGACAGAAAAGGCCCAGTGGCCCGCAGCAGGACAGAACTTCCAATCACTCCTGCAAGGTAGGCGGGCCTGTGACCCACCGGCAGAAGAGGATCAGTGGCCTGCTGAGAGGCAGAGCCGCCCCCTCCCCCTGCGCCGGCAAGGTAGAGGGAACTGTGACCACGCACAGAACAGGCCCAGCGGCCTGCTGAGGGGCAGAGCCGCCCCCCACCCCCCGCGCCTGCCAGGTAGACAGAACTGTGACCACCGACAGAAAAGGCCCAGTGGCCCGCGGAGGGGCAGAGCTTCCAATCACTCCTGCAAGGTAGGCGGGCCTGAGACCCACCGGCAGAAGAGGAGCAGCGGCCTGCTGAGAGGCAGAGCCGCCCCCTCCCCCCGCTCCTGCAAGGTAGTCG